GAGAGAGAGAGAGAGAGAGAGAGAGAGAGAGAGGGACAGAGAGGGGTAGAGAGAGAGAGAGAGAGGAGGAGAGTGAGAGAGAGAGAGAGAGAGAGAGAGAGTGAGAGAGAGAGAGAGAGAGATAGAGAGAGAAAAAGAGAGAGAGAGGGTGAGAGGTAGAGAGTGAGGGAAAGAGGTAGAGAATGAGAGAGAGAGAGAGAGAGAGTGAGGGAGAGAGAGAAAGAGAGAGAGAGAGAGAGAGAGAGAGAGATAGAGAGAGAGAGAGAGAGAGAGAGAGAGAGAGAGAGAGAGAGAGAGAGAGAGAGAGAGAGAGAGAGAGTGAGAGAGACAGAGGCAGACAGAGAGGTTCAGAGAGAGCGAGAGGGTGAGAGGGAGAGAGAGAGAGAGAGAGAGAGGGAGAGAGAGAGAGAGAGAGAAAGAGAGAGAAAGAGAGAGAGAGAGAGAGAGAGAGAGAGAGAGAGAGAGGGAGAGAGAGAGAGAGAGAGAGAGAGAGAGAGAGAGAGAGAGAGAGAGAGAGAGAGAGAGAGAATAAGTAGAGAGAGAGAGAGATTGAGTGAGAGAGAGAGAGAGAGAGAGAAAGAGAGAGGGAGAGAGAGAGTGAGAGAGAGAGAGAAAGAGAGAGAGAGAGAGTGTGTACCCCAGGGTGGACGGGATTGGTACGTGCTGGGGCGGCAGGAGCGCGGCGGGGCGCGGGGCAGTATACGAGCCTGCAGGCGGCAGACGCTACAGCGGCGCCGCCTGCGCATAGGGGCGCGCCGCCGCCAGAGGAGGCGGCGGGAACTGCGGGCGCGAATGCTGATGCCCAGGCATTAGCGCGGGACAGGGCCGCACAGGCTGCAGCTGATGCGGAACAGTTTCCACTGGAGCCAGCTGGTCGGGGAGGAACGGCGGATGGACTTGAGCCGGAAAAGGAGGCGGCAACTGGAGGGGGAGTTGTCAGGGAGGGTCCGGCTGCGGGGGTGACGGGAGCAGCCCAGCACCAGCCCGCTCGAGTATTCCCTCCAGCGTCGCGGCTGTAAGCACCAGCCACCTCTCCAGCGCGCTCCCCCTCCGCCCCCGCCACATTCCGGCCCGCCCCGTCGGGCCGTTCGGCGCACGGTGCTGCTGCGGTTGCGGCCGCGACGGCAGCAGCGGGGGAGGGCGGGGGCTCACTGCACGGGATACAGCAGGCGGCAACGACACCGCAGGAGGACGCTGGCGGATCTTTGCGCCCACCACCGCCGCCTGCCCCTCCCGCCGAGGCGGAGTAGACACCCGCATCCGATTGGGGACACTGGCGCGCTCGTGGACGGCACTGGGAGCCCGCGCGCCCACCACTGGTCCGATTGAGGGGGGGAGCTCGACCGACCTCGGAGGGGGACGTTTTCCCCCGAGCTCTCACGGTCAACCGAGCGCTCCCTTTGAGCGCGACCTGCTCGGTCGGCCATCCGACTCACTGATGGGCCCCAGAGCAGGCACAGCGAGACAAAGGGGCGAACGCCCGCCTACTCCACGCTCGGCAGCGCGGGGCAGCGGCTCGCGGAGGGGACGTGGCGGCAGGGGGCGTGGTCGCTCGCTTGGCTTGATGTCTGGTGGAGGGCCCCTGAACGGCTTCCACAGGGCTGTGGGAAGGGCTTTTAGAGAAAACGCAGCCTTAGACACGAGTTCTGCCGAAGAGCGTGTGGATGCCACTTATAGGCAGGAGGCAAGGGAGGAGACTAGCAAGGAAGAATCAGCTGGAGAGGACGACGAGCTCGACAGATCCGAACGAAACCAAAGACAAGCAAAGCGGAATCAAAGGGAGCAGCGGGTGCCGCAGAGACGGAATCAATGGGCCAGCGAGGCACAGCCCAACCAACCTTCGTGCCAACTTTCGCCAGAAGACCTGGCGAATAACGAACCCCTCTTTGTGGGGATCACCAACTGGGACATTGGACTGCTTTGCGACTGTCGCCAGCCCCCCCTTTCCCGTCGAATCCCCCACAAACTACGCCAGCTTTTCGCATTGGCGCTTCGGACACCCTGCTCCACATCGCAAAAAAACCCATCCAGCCTCACTGGCTGGCACCTGTTACTTTTCACACCCCGGCTCACCCTTCGCCTCCATTCGCCGCGCCACCCGGATTGGTCAGCAGTCGAGCAGAGACTGCAGCATTTCTTGGCCGGCGAATGGGAATCACTTTACCTGGCAGCGGCCGACGCGATACACAACCCACCAGTGCCACGCCACTCCGGTGACACCCTCGGCAAAATTATTCGCGCCGAGGGCCTCGTCCGTCGTGGCAGCCTCAGGCGTGCCCTGCTGGCGCTCGATTCAACGCCGGTCAGCGAGTCAACGCCAGAGGTCCTCGCCGCGCTGACCTCCAAACACCCCCCCCCTCTGACCGAGTCCCTTGACTGGCCCGCCCTCGACGAGTCCGAGGCTCACCCCTCCATCTCGCTTGCCGATTTCGTACGGTTACTCAGCCGCAGAGAAAACGGAGTCGGCGCGGGACCGTCTGGCATGTGCTTTGAGCACCTTCGCGATGCAGCCCTCGCGAACGCCTCAGTCGCCAACGAACTGCACGAGATAGCACAAAGTCTCCTAAAAGGAACCGCCACTCCGGAGGTCGCTGGGCTCCTCACAGCTAGCCGCCTGCTAGCGTTCCTGAAGTCTGAGGGAGGCACACGCCCAATTGCAGTAGGCGAATGCCTCCATCACCTAGTGGCAAAAGTGGGCCTCGCCGCCATGAACGAGCCCGCCCAAAGCCACTTTCTCCCTCTGCAGTTCGGCGTGGCGGTGAGGGCCGGTGGCGAAGCGATAATCCATGGCGCGAGAGCCTTCGCCACGGTATCCCCGTCCGTCCTCCTGCTCCAAGTCGACCTATCTAACGCTTTCAACAGCGTCGACCGCGGGGCCATCATTACGGGACTCTACAAATCCCCCCTCCGCCCCCTCCTCCCCTTCGCGCCTCTGTCCTATGGCGCCCCCTC